CTTCATCAGCTCCCACTGCAACAAACTCTGACGTTGATGTTTATGTTCATCGGCAATTGTGAACAAATGACGACATTTATAAAATGGGTTATAATATGAATACAATTATCAGCCAATACTCCATAGGGCTGAGAAATAAGATTAAACGTTAAGCGTTACAAAATGAATCGATCACCGCGACATGGGAGGGTAACGGATCATCAGCTCTGACTGAGGCTGTGTCTGAGTCTCATATCTTTATTACCGAGGGGAGCGATTCTGACAAACAAACACAACATCGTTTTGAAAAGAAGATTCATCAATGACAGAACGCAACGTATTTCTGAACTCGCATTTAACAGACTGAAAAATGAAACACTCTAAACTGCTCATTATGAGGAACATAATGATGTGAGGCACATCACTGAGGGGAAAATGCACACAATGTAGTGGGCTCTCGCTGTAAGGGGAGCTTTTTTTTTTCCTCTGACAGAGGCCCTGGAAAAGGTTGTAGAAATTTTAAATGGAACAAGCTTCAGGGTGGAGACTCTGACATTCCTCAGTCAGCTAGAAGAGAAAATCGACTGCTGAAAGAGACCGACGTCTTCTTGCTTAAGCCACACATGATGCCGTTGCAAGCATCACATAGGCAGGTGAACCGCAAGGACACTATTATTATGTGCATTTAGCCAAAGGCGACAGGGAAAGCAAACTCTGCAGATCTCTGCATCAAACTACTTTGCAGTATTTGGTTTGCCAAATTAGGACCTTGGCAGTCGCTGCTTTGCTACCTGGGACTGTATATTTAGATTTAAGTGCATTCTTACCTTTCTCTGCGAAGCAACAGATTTGTGTTTGCTGCAGAATAAAACTGTCTTAAAAGACTCATCTTCCTTTTAATGGTTTCTGGTATTTTGATAGTGTCAGTATGGGTTGTTTTATTTTTGTTTTTTTCCATTCGAAATTGGGGAGAGAGCAGAGAGACTCTGGAGGTGTAGTACACCTGAAAATTAAAGATAAAATAGACTTGAAAATTACAAAAAATATGCTCCCACTGGGAGCTGTGTTCTACCCTTTTCTTTTTCTTAAAAGCACAATAAGGGATACTGAAGCCCAAGAAAATTTGTAAGAACAAATGATTGGATAGACTGGATACATGGATCCAAAAGTGAACCATTAGAAAGACAAAAAAAAAAAAAAAAAAGGACAGAACTGGCCTGAATCCATAATCGTGCAGAGTGGCTTACACGACCTCCCTAAAAGTCACAGCTAAGAGCTTTAACGTCTTAAAACAAAGATTGCCTCATTCTGGCATCCACAGTGGAAAAAGGCCTGGCAACCTTTTTGTTTGTTTGTGACATACTTGGACGTAGTGCAATGGTTCGCCTGACACTTGACTGTGATATCACTCATTTTGATTGACAGCTGAAGTGTCGCGCCTGTTTTAATAGCTTCCTGTCTGGTGATTCAACAGCACCCTCTCGGGAGAACGTCAGAACCCGGATCACACACACACACGCACACGCACACACACACACACACAACACTGAGCTGCAAATGTCGTCAGTCTTAAATGTTTACCAGCTGCAGAGGAAGCACCGTGTTCTTCTGAATTCCTCAACAACAGTCCACTCTATACTCACTTCAATGGTCAATTAAGAAAGAATTAATAGTATTAAGACTAACAAGAAAAGCAAATGAGCACATATGTCAATAATTAAATGGCAATAAAAGCCCAGAGTGCCTTTACATTGTATTGTAACACCCACACACAGGCTAAGAGACTTAATTACACAGTACATTCAATGTAGGCTGAATTTTGTTTGTGAATTACGAGCAAGGCTAGTGGAAAAAGTGAAGCAGCATTTACTTACTTAGATTCTCGTCCTTCCAAAAACCATGTCCAGATTCTGACAACTCACCTTCAGTGACTCATACATTTGGAATTTAGCTTGGGAAAGAAACTTACTGGAGCTGAGTGCAACCTACTCTGACCCTGTGCGGTCTTCCTCTTTCAAGCCCAATCGACGCACTGAAAAACGCAAAAGTTTAACAAACCCCAAAATGTTTCAAAATGCTTCGAATGAAAGCAAGAAAGCAAAGTTAATGTCCCATTTAAAAATCCCCCTCAGCCGCTCACTAATCCAAACCATATGCACTCAAAAGGCAGCGCGCTTTTAACGTGGGATAAGAGCAGAGCGTGCAGTGTGGTCCCAACGCGATGCCCCAGCAAAGAAAAATCAACAAAGATCCTTTGTTTTCCTCACTTTGCTCTCGCCTCGGCTCTGAAGTCTCGCTGTCTAAGTGCAAGCCATCGCAAATACAATCTGTTTATGAATTTGGTGCCAGGATTCCTCCACTGAATCAACCGTGGTGTTTTTAGTGTCTAATCTGGAAGGCAGTCTTGCTCTCTCACAGCCCAGCACTTTCATCTGAGGTGTATCAAATGCAAAATCCTGACATATTTTATAAAAGAAAGGCACCTCTCCCCTTCTACTCTTTAAAAGGAGAGGAGAGAAGTGGAAAAGACCTGCTGTATGGAGAGAAACATGCAAACAACAACAGAGCCGAGATAAAAAGCTACTTACTTGCCTCCAAACTGGGGTGGAATAGTGAAGAGGAAGTTTCAGCGGATCTTAATAGTTTTCAGCTGTGGGCCAGATGGTGGTGCGCTAAGGACTACAGTAAGCAGAGATGATGGGGCTTGCAAGCTCAACAAGAAGCGTTTGCCTAGACACAAGATACTTGACATTCAAACCCAACTTCCTCCGCCCACAGTTTGTCCAAAAGGAGTTTCACATGTGCAAAACAAGAGACCCCTTTAGACAGGGACTATTTTGCTGTGATGCACAGGGGCATACCACAGATGAGCCATAAAAGCCATCTCGCCAGAGGTTGCAGGCTGACCCTTTTGCTGCAGTGTGTGATTCATCATCACACTATGCACCCTGGCAACAGCCTTAGGTCAACATCTTGGCATCAATCAACTCAGCAGTACGGCCAAAACATTATGAAGTAGAAGTAACAACACTTCTCTAACTTGGAGCACAAAAAGCCTCCCTGTGAGATGATGTCAACTTAATAATACCTTTTCCTTTTTCTCTGCACTCTGAAAACA